TGGGGGGGTGGGAACAGGCTGAGCCCCTCACCTTCCCGGACGATGTCGATGATGTCGTCTGCGTTGAAGCTGAGCTCGTCAGTGTCCTGAGCATCGTAGGCGTACAGGGCCCGGCACTTCGCCTGCCTGGGCCTCACTCTCGGTTGTGGCTTCGCACGGCCCCCTCCAGGCACTGGCTTCACATCCATCGACATTCGCCTCTGGAGGCTGCGCAGGGAGGTGCAGATTCAGTCCTAACTGAACCCCAATAGCACTCAAATCCCCTGCAAACACACCCTCAGGGAGACCACCCTCCCCCACCCCCACTGAACATCAGGACCAGTGCTGAGACCGACTATTCAACCAGGAGGAGCTGCACGGTCCACGGGCAAAGCCTCCTGCAGCCGCATCTTCAAATTAAATATTGTTATCATAGGGATTAAACCCAGATCTTACACTCCCCGCACTACATCCCTCACCCCCCCCCCTGCCCCCGTCACCCTCCCTCACCCCCGTCGCCCCCTCCCTATCCCCTCTCTCGGAGTCTGAACCTGTTGGTGGGTGGGGAGGATGGGGGTGGAGGGATGGGGTGGGGAGGATGGGGGTGGGGGGATGGGTGGGGGTATCGGTGGGGGTGAGTGACCCATGACTTACCCAGCAACCCCCTGCTCAGGGACGTTCATGAAGTCGAGGTTCTGTGGTGCAGGCTGGGTCCGGGCTCGGGGACTTGCCCCCTGGCGGGGCAATGTGGGCTGCTCCATGCTGGTCTGCCTGCGTACAGTGAACCCCCGGCTCAGTCGGTCCCCCAGGGTCAACCGCGAGCCCTCGGTGGGGGTCTCTGACCCTCCGACACCTGGTGGGTTGGGGGGGGTGTAGAACAAGAGGGTGAGTCGGTCCTCCCCCTCCTGCTGCCCCCCCCCCCCCCCCCACACTGCCCTCGCCTCTCCCAGGCTGCCTTCACCTGTCCTGCGCTCACCACCCCTACCGTAGCCCTCACCTCCCTCGGCCATCAACCCCCCCAACGCCTTCGGATCCGCCTCTGGCCTTCACCTTGAGGTGGGTGGCGTCAGGAGTCAAACAAGAGGGTGAGAGGGTCCTCCAACTCCTCCTGTAGCCCCTCACCCCACCCTAAACCATCACCGTCACTCTCCCTCACCCTCATCCACCCCACCCCCAATCCCCTTCCTCCCCAGTCACCAACCTCTCACCGACTCTTGTCTCGAGCTCAGTCCCTGGCCCCTAGTGACGCTGTGATGGGAATTGGTGGGGGTGGGGGGAGGCGGGAGTTGCTAGAGCGGCTGGGATCTCCGGAGGTTACAGAGATGGGGAGGGGGTGTAGGGGGCTGGAGGGGGTGACGGAGATGGGGAGGGGGTGTAGGGGGCTGGTTTTGGAGGTAGGGGAGGGGTACTGACCCCCTCTGTTGTACCTGGAACGTACGGCCTCACATTGATGTACGTGCTCTTGCGTCTGTCTTTCCTGGTGGGTCCTGGAGAGGAACAGCACCATTTACTGTAAATCACAGCACCCACCCCAACCCAACCAACCTCAACCCTACCCAACCCAACCTCAACCCTACCTCAACCCAACCCAACCAACCTCAACCCAACCCAACCTCAACCCTACCCCACCCCAACCCTGACAATTACAGTCCGTCCCACTTACTCGGCACCACCGCACTGCCCTGTCGTTGCACAGAGCTGGCGTACAACCAGCCCCTGGCTTTAGACTGAGAGGTGTAGGAACAGAGGAGGCTGTTCAGCCCATCAAGTCTGCTCTGCCGCTCCCTGGCATTATGGCTGATCAGGTCACCCTCCACTCCATATTCCTACATAACTCTCGACTCCCTTCCTCAGTAAATATCTCTCTGAATATACTTAATGATTCTAGGGCAGAATGGGGGAGGGAGTGGAAACAGGGCCGAATGGCCTCTTTGCAAGCTGAGAAATGGATAATGATACAAGCAGTGAGAGTGTCCAGGCCTCAGGCTTCTGTCTGAGATGCACCATCCCCCGAATTTGTACCTGCCCACAACAACCTGCCCATCTCCAAAGCTCCAGTGCATTTCTCTAGCGTCCTTTCAACAGTTTGTGTTTATTCAACCTGATTTTTCGAACCAGCCCCTTCAGAGATGTTATTGCAACAGTATGGAGCAGGTGGGACTTGTCCCCGGGCCCCTCAGTCCAGGGGTAGGGACGCTACCGCTTGCCCCCACAAGAGCTGTCTGCCAGTCAACGATCCTCCCTGTTACAAAGCCTTGTGCGCACAGCAAGATCCCACAAATGGCAGAACATGACCGTGATCCAGAGGGTGCGCTCTCTCAGCGACGCAGCAAGAAACCATTTAGCCTCAGGACCCCCAGAGAAGTGGGTGGCCCTCACCCCCAATGGTGTCCGTGGGATTCTCTCCCCCACCCACCCCCCAGCCTGGCCCAGAGGGTGCCTGGGGTCCTTTGTCCTGCCTGGCGACGTACTCGAGTGTTTGGGCAGCCCAGCTCCGATGCTGATGAGCAGCACCTTGTTGCTTGGCCTCAGGACCGCGAAGTCACCGTGACCGGGCTGGAACTCGATCTGCCGTGACCCAGCCGCTGCCCATGGGCCCCAGCCTCCCTTCTTCACCTTGAACTCCAGCCTGCAACACAACAGGGTCAGAGGTCACCACCGCGGAGAGGGAGACGCACAAGGGTCACACCCGCACCCCACCCAACCCCCAGGGAGAGAGCAAAGGTCACCCTTGAGAGAAAGGTCACTGCGATGGAATGGTAAAGGTCATGTGACAGAAGGGTAAAGGTCATTGTGACAGAGTGGCAAGGGTCACGATGGCAGGGTAAAGGTCATGGATGGGTGAGGGTCACATGATGGAAGGATATAGGTCATTGGAAGGGTGAAGGTCATAGGAGGGAGGGTCACATGACGGAAAGGTGAGGGGGCAAAGATCACAACAGGGTAAAGGTCACCGTGATGGAGGGGGAAGGGTCACATGACAGAAGAATAAAGGTCATCGTGATGGAAGGGCAAGGATCATATGACACAAGGGTAAAGGTCGCCGTGACAGAGTGGCAAGGCTCACATGATAGAAGAGTAAAGGTCATTGATGGGTGAGGGTTGCTGTGATGGTGGGACGAGGATCATGAGACAGAAGGGTAAAGGTCACCAAATGGAAGGGCAAGGGTCATGTGATGGAAGAGTAAATGTCACTGGAAGGGTGAGGGTTGTATGACACAAGGGTAAAGGTCACTGATGGGGGCAAGGATCGCATGACAGAAGGGTCAAGGTCGCCAGGGTGGAAGGGCAAGGATAAAGGTCAATATGGAGGGACAAGTGTCATATGACAAGGGTAAAGATCACTGATGGATGGGTAAGGACCACATGACAGAAGGGGTAAGGTCACCCCTGGAGCTGTTCCGCCCCCCCCCACCCTGAGCTCACAGATTGTTGAACTTGAGCGGAATCTTCTTCTGGGTCTTTTCCTTGAAGCGTTTGCAGAGGAGGCTGAGGAATTCTGTCTTAAACGTAGACTCGAGGACACTGTCATAGTGCTGTTCGTGGATAATGATGAAGTCATCTTGCATCGTGCTGGGGGGGAGGGAGGGAGAGAGAGAGGAGGTGGGGGAGACGGGGAGGGAGAGAGGGAGAGAGGGAGGAGGTGGGGGAGACGGAGAGGGAGAGAGGGAGGAGGTGGGGGAGACGGGGAGGGAGAGAGGGAGGAGGTGG